GGCAACTTGGCGAGACCTCATCTCTACAATAAATCAAAAATTAGCTGGGCGTGGTAGCATGCGCCTGTAGTTCCAGCTACTTGAAAGGCTGAGGCAGAAGGATTGCCAGAGACCAGCAGGTGGAGGCTACAGTGGCCGGGAGTGGCCAATGCACTCCAGTCTGGGTGACAGAATGAGACTCCAACTCAAAAAAAAAAAAAAATTAGCCAGGCATGGTGGCATGTGCCTGTAGTTCCAGCTACTTGGAAGGCTGAAGCAGAAGGATTGCCTGAGCCCAGCAGGTCAAAGCTGTGGTGGCTATGAGCATGCCACTGCACTCCAGCCTGGGCGACAGAGTGAGACTCTGACCCAAAAATAAAACAAAACACCAAAAAAACCCCAAAAAAACCCAGACAAGCCACAGGATGAGAGAAAATATTTTTAAAGCCTTTATCTGTTAAAGGACTTGTATTCAAATATATAAAGAACTCTTACAACTCAATAATAAGAAGACAAACAACTCAATTAAAAACCAGACAAAAGATTTGAACAGACATTTCACCAAAGAGGATATATGAATGGCTAATAAGCACATACAAAGATAATCAACATCATTAGTCATTAGGGAAATGCAAATTAAAACCACAATGAAATACTACTCCACACCCACTAGAATGGCTATAATCAGAAAGATAGATAATACCAAATGTTGGCAAGGATGTGGAGAAATGAGACTCCTCATATTTTGTTGATGGGAATGTAAAATGGTGCAGCCACTTTAGGAAACGGTTTGGCAGATTCTTAAAAAGATGAACATAAATTTACTATGCAACCCAACAATTATTCCACTCCTAGTTATCTATCCAAGAGAAATGCAAACAGACATTCATACAAAGACTTGCACATAAATGTTCATAGCAGCACTATTCATAATATCCAAAGTGTGGAAACAACCCAAATGTCAATCAACACTACAATGGGATACTATTCAACAATAAAAAGGAACAAAATACTGATGCGTGCTATAACATGGGTGAATCTAAAAGAAAAAAAAATATGCTCAGTGAAAGAAGCCAGACACAAAAGACCACAAAGTGTATGGTTCTATTTATATGAAAAGTTCAGAAAAGGGAAATCTATATAGACAGAAAATAGATTAATAGTTGCCTGGGGCTGGAGATGGGAACAGAGGTTGATTGTAACTAGGCACAAGGGAAGGATCTTACTAAGGTGGTGGATTTCACTGAGGTGATGGAAACAATCCAAAACTGGATTGGGTAATGGTTTCGTGACCTGGTAGATTTATTTTAAAACAATTAAATTATACCCTTAAAAAGAAAAAATGTTAATGGCAATATATATCTTAATGTAAACAATTTTATGCATATAAAGCATTTAGCACAGCGTTTGAAATAGAACATCTCAATAAAAGTATTTAACTTTTTAAGTTAATAATATTGCCATTATTGTTACTTATGTCATGCCTACTATGTGCTAGGCATTTTGCTGAGTGCTGGGTGAAGTAAAGCTCCAGGAAATGAACCCCTGGGCTAGGAAAATGGCATATACTTTATGCAGTGACAGATTTTTATTTTCAAATTCTGCTGCTATTGGTGGCAAGTCACATTAAAGGTTGTTCTCTCCTGTTCTTTTTCTTCACAGTAAGTATAGCTTTTTTGTATTTTTTTTTCTTTTAGAGACAGGGTCTCTCTCTCTGTCACCCAGACTGGAGTGCAGTGGTGCAATCATAAATCAAGTCATTAAAGCCAGCCCCCAAGCTGGGCATGGTGGCTCATGCCTGTAATCCCAGCACTTTGAGAGGCGGAGGTGAGAGGATTGCCTGAACTCACAGGTTTGAGATCAGCCTGCCTGGGCAACATGGCAAGACTTCATCTCTACAATAAATTACCTGGGTGTGGTGGCCCACACCTGTGGTTCCAGCTACTTGGAAGGTGGAGGTGGAAGGATCACCTGAGCCCAGCAGGTCAAGTCTGCCGTGGCCACGAGCATGCCACTGTATTCCACCCTGGGCAACAGCGTGAAACTCTGACTAAAAAAACAAACAAAAAACAGCCTCTAGCTCCTGAGCTCAAGTGGTCTTCCTGCCTCAGCTTCCAGAGTAGCTGGGACTACAGGTACTTGCCAGCTCGACCTAGCTTATCATTTTATTTCTTTGTGTGAGAACTTGCTTCGTGTCTATCTCCCTCAATAGATTATAAACACCATGAAGGCAGGGAGAGGTCTGTTCTGGCAGATGGTTGGATTCTGGTAAATTTTTGCTGGTCTGATAGAAGGAACATGTGATGCTGATACTGTTCCTTTCCTCATCCCCATGAATTTCTGGAAATGCAGATTTCATCTTACAACCGAGTTAGACATGAGGACCACAGCCAAGTTTCAAGATGGAGAAAGATGCAATGAACCTGTATCTTTGATGACCTTTATCAAGCCAATGCACTCCCACCTCCAGACCTCTTATTACATGAGAAAAATGAACTGTAATTAAGCTACTGTTACTAGGGTTTTCTATTTCTGGCAATGGAACACATTCCTAAATGATAGTACCAATAAAACCACAGTGATATTCTTTTTTTTTTGAGTTGGAGTCTCACTCTGTCACCCAGACTGGAGTGCAGTGCCTGCTCCCGGCCTCTGCACCCTCGATCTGCTGGGCTCCGCTGATCCTTCCGCCTCAGCTTTCCAAATAGTTGGAACTACAAGCATGCACTACCACACCTGGCTAATTTTTTTGATTTATTGTAGAGATGAAGTCTCACCAAGTTGCCCAGCCGGGTCTCGAACCTACTGGCTCAGGCAATTCACTCACCTCGGCCTCCCAAAGCGTGAGATTACAGGCTGAGCCACTGAGTTCGGCCAAAGTGATATTCTTGAGTGACTTTTGTCTAGTGGAGAAAGATGGGCATGTATTTGTAAAATACTTGCTTCATGGAACTCTGTACAGGGTGAGTTAATGGACTGCATCAAGGAGTCCCGAGTTGCATACTGGTTTCTGGCTTAGGTGATTAGGTAGATGGCTGTTTCACTGAGATAGTAAACCTAGAAGGTGGAGCTTATTTGTGGGGCAGAATTACTTCTTTCTTGCGCATGTGGTTTTTAGGTATTGATAGGACAACCAGGGTAAAGGATCCAGAGATAGCAAGATATATGGATTTGAGCCCAAGGGCGAAGACTGCAGGAGTAAAGAATGGGTGACATCAGTGTGTGCATCTGAGTGAAGCCTAGGAGTGAAACTGTATTGAGCTCTTGTTTCAGATTCTGTGCTAAGTGCTTTGCATTATTACCATCATCATCCATCACAGCAACTAACATTTACTGAGCACTTATTATGTATATGCCAATTAGACTTCTAACTGCTTTACCTCATTGTCTCCTAACTTCATTTATCTCACTCAATTTTGACAACCAAGAAAGGGAAGTACAAGCTCAATTTTAGTTATGAGAAAACTTGAGGATTAGAGAAATTAAGGAACTTGTCCTAGCCCATACTGCTAGTGTGTTGTTTTTGTTTTTATGTGCTTGTTTTTGGTTTTTTTCAGGTAGCATGTGCCCAGCCCAAGGGGATAAATCATGGTTGGTCTATATCATAAGTCTACACCATTCTATGTAATACCGTTGTTTTTGCCAACATTCTTTAACTCTCATCTTCACAATAATCCTGCAAGGCAGGTATTGTTTTTTCCATTTTACTGATATGAAACGCAGGCTCAGAGGAGTGACTGGTTTTGTACACGGGTCTGACTCCCTACAGCTCTTTCGAGTGCACTACACCATTACTCATTCATTGGTAAATTTGTACATTTTTTAAATGATTCTGGTTGTGGGTATTCTACTTTTCCTAGTTGGCCTGTAATACCTCCTTGCCCATTACCCTTGACAATCTGGGAGCTCCTTAAGGCGACTCACTACCCTTCAGGAACCTTTCCTAATGACTTCTAGGAAGCCCCCTCGCCCTCCAGAAGTGCTTCTAATGATTCTCAGGATCCCTCCTCTCCGTCTCATAGAGCTGCTCCTAATGACCCCCACCCAACTCCCTGTTCACTGAGGAACTGCTATTTAATGACTCCCTAAGGACACCCTCCCTCAGGACCTTTCTTAATGACCCTCAGGACTCCTTCCGCTTAGGAACTGTCCTGGGCTTGCCAGCCGGCGGGAGTGAAGGGTGAGGTGGGGTAGGTTGGGGAACGAAGAGCACAGGATTTTGATTTTAAAACAGCCCCGGACAAACCGAGACAAGTTGGTCACCTTTTCAGAACTCCTTGACCTCGGAAGCTACCCCTAAGAGCCCCCAACGCACTTCCACTTTAGGCAAAGGGGCTACTTATTCCGAGAAAACTTTTGTTAGAGGTATCCTATAATAACTCCATCGCCCTTCCCCACTTACCAGACAACCCATTTCTAGGTACTCGCCTCTTTCAACCCTGATTAGTTTTGGGGGGCCAGAAGCCCGCCTATGATTGGCCAGTTCCGCAATCCGGCCGAGATGCTCAGTGGCCACGGTCCCGAGTGGTACATCGTTTCCTCCTGGCAACAGCCCGAGCCGGAGCTCATTGGCTGAGCATACTTTTATCCCGGTCTTTGAGGTGGCTGCAGTACGTGCTCATTGGTTATTTGTGGCTTACAGCCGATCTCGGATTGGCTGATTTTGTGAGGCGCTGTGCGGCTGCGCAGATGCCGACTTTAGAGGAGGCGGAGCTTCGTCCTTCGCCTGCTGGAAAAGCAGTGGAATCGGCTAGTGGCGACTGCAGAAGCCGAGCCTAAGCCCTGCCGGGGCTTTGGGCTTTAGGTGAGAATTATAGGGTTTTAGAATCCTTTAGGTTTGTTGCTGCTGTGGCGGTGACCGTGAGCTCCAGTGGGGGAGGGGAGACGGGGGTGGGTCTTCCAGCGGTGGATGATCGGCATGTTTCTCGGCTAATAGGAGAAGGAGCTTCTAAAATGGGCTCTGCGATTGGCCTTTTCCAATCTCTTCTGGCCAATGGACGTCGGGAGAAGGGGGCGGGTCCTCTGGGCCTTATTTTCTTCTTCTTGCGGTTGGGCCTCACTAGCCTAGGCGGCGGGGCCGGGAGGGGCCGGACCTCTGCGCGGTGAGGTTCGGGGACCTTGGGAACTGGGTGGGGGGCCACTGCCTCTGGAGTGATATTCACGGGAGCAGCTGCAAGGGAAGGGTGCGGGAGTTTGGGGTTGTTGTTAGCAACAGCTCCCTTCATTGAGTGGTTAAGTACCGGGCCTAGTGCTTAGTGTTTCGCTTGCATCATCTGAGCTAATCACAGCAGCCCTCCAGGGCAGGGGCTTGAGAACCCCATTTTACAGGTGGAGAAACTGAGACTCAGCTTACACAGCCAAGGTTACACGGCTGATAAACCACACGGACCAGATCTGTATTCAGAGTTTTGACTCCGAAGGCGTTGCTCTTGAACCACTAGGCTTTGTTGCTGGATGCGGGAGGGAAGGTGTCAGGAAACGGGAGCTTTCCCCAGGGAATAGATTGGGGGAAGGGAATCCTAGGGTTTAAGAAAGAGGATGAACCACGGAAGTAAAGGGGGAGGAAATAAGTTATTCAACAGTTACCGAGTGCCTACTCTGTGCCATGCATTGTTCTAGGCGTACAAAGATGAATAGGGCCAGAGGCTGATGAATCCCCTATCGGGCCCCTTTGAAGCCCCGGGAAGGGGCCCCGACGTTGTATTCATATGATTATATGTTTTCATAAGATTTACAAAAGTAAGATATTTTGGATTCCTTTTTTTTTTTTTTTTTAATTAAACGGATCTTCAAAATTGAATAAGCTTCGGGTTTCTTCACACATGGATCTGCCCTTGCAAAGAACTTAGTCCAGATAGAGGTTAGGATGTAAGCAGTATAGAGTAATGGAGGTACGCTAGGCGTGAAACGCAGACAAATTTCCTGATATGTAAAGCAGGGATAACTGTACACCTGCCATAAAAAGGTTCTGTAAGGTTCATGAAAAGCGCTTGTCCAGGAACACACTTTATTTTTGGTGGAATGGAAACCTAAGAGATGTGAGTAATAGAGTTTGTCTTTCCTACCTTACACAGTTCTGCTATCTCTCACGTCTGTTACTAGATTTTTAGTAGGTTGAAGGTAGTTTTCTCCCTTTTGAGCTCCCTACCTCTCAAAAGGGACTCTTGGACCTGGATTGCCATTGCTTTGGGCCCCAGCCTGGAGGAAGGGGTGGCCAGATCTACTGGACCTTTGGTGAAGAGGTTCAGTAGAGGAAAGGGCATATTGTTTTTGCTTCTAAACTGGTCCTTATTGACTGGTAAGCTTCTTCCTTTTTCATTTGAAATGGTCTATTGTGTTAATAAGCAGTGGGGATGTACCTGCTTAGCGGAAGTTCTCATCTAAAAGCATAGAGTGTATATCTTTCTCTAATAAATTATGAAGTTTGCCCAGTGTTGTCAGTGTATTGTCCGTTTAAATTTTTTCCTTTGAGTTGTGGTACAGGCAATTGAACTTTTTTTTTTTTTTTTTAGCTGGAACAATGTCTCTGTTTAAATGAGATTTGAATACATGTAGTTTTGATACATTTGAAAACATGCAGTTTGTTACATCAGGCTCTTTTAAACACCTTTTCTGTTTTGTATTTCTAGTTCACTTAAGAACTTTTCTAGGGGCAGATTTCAGGTGTCGGGTCTTATTACTTCTCCCAGATTTCTACATCATCTTTTGCTATTTTTAGCACTGACATTCCCAGCATTTAATTTTAATTGCTGTTTTTTTTTTTTAATTGGAATCTCACTCTATCGCCCAGGTTGGAGTGCAGTGGCACGCTCACAGCCACCACAGCCTTGACCTGCTGGGCTCAGGCAATGCCTCCCCCTCAACCTTCCAAGTAACTGGAACTACAGGCGTACGCCACCACTATAATTGCATTTTATATAATTTTATGCTCTTAATGTCTTTCATCAGATTCCTGTCTGACCAAAGTGACCTCAGAAAGGAAGGAAAATGGCTTCCGAATCTGAAACCCTGAATCCCAGTGCTCGGATAATGACCTTTTATCCAACCATGGAGGAGTTCCAGAACTTCAGTCGATATATTGCCTACATTGAATCCCAAGGAGCTCATCGGGCAGGGCTAGCCAAGGTAAGGCGTAGGATTGGCCAACGTGGCTTTTGTGACCTAAGGCAGCAGTGAGATTGTTCCAAATTAAAGGTAGGAGGTCCAAAGGAAAGTTGGGTGGGGTGATGACTTTAGTGAATACAGTCCTATTTGCAAGTTAATTCCTGTAGTTAACATCGGAAGCATCTTTGCTTTTAGGCAGGAGGAGAGCTGCCTGGAATCTTCAAAAAGCAGAGATAAAGAGCCAGCATCTCCAGTCCTGGCTGCTGTAGTGCTTCGGCCCTCATGTTTGAGCTAGGTATTTTTGTTGTTTGTTTGTTTTTTAGTTGGAGTCTCACTGTTATCCAGGCTGCTGGAGTGCAGTGACACAATCTTTGGTCTCCTGGGCTCAGGTGATCTTTTCCCCTTAGCCTGCCTAGTAGCTGGGACTACAGGTATGTGCCACCACACCTGGCTTGCTTATTTATTTATTTATTTATTTGAGTTGGAGTTTCACTCTGTTGCCCAGGCTGGAGAGCAGAGGCATGCTCATGGCCACCCCAGTGTCAACCTGCTGGGCTCAGGCCATCCTTCTACCTCAGCCGTCCAAGTAGCTGGAAGTACAGGTGCGCACTACCATGCCCGGCTAATTTTTGATGTAGAGACGAGGTCTCGCCAAGTTGCCCAGGCTGGTCTCAAACACCTGGGCTCAGGCAGTCCTCTTGCCTCCACCTCCAAAAGTGCTGGGATTACAGGTTTGAGCCACCATGCCCAGCTTGACTAATTTTTTTTATTGTTTTGTAGAGATGATGTCTCCCTGTGTTGCCTAGGCTGGTCTCAAACCCCTGGGCTCAAGCAGTCTCTCCTTGGCGTGCCCGACCTCTTTTGTGTTTTTTAATTTCTACTGAGTGCTTATGCCATCCAGCTTATTTTGCTCATTTCAGTCTTATTCAGCATTCTGGTAGTAAATTGGATTCCCATATAGAATTTCTTCAAGGGGAAAAGTGCACTGGCCAGCCAACATGAGTATTCTGGTTCTTGTAATTTGGAATTCGTTTCTGATTTATGCTTCTTTCTGCTGTGAGTTGGGTTAGTTATTTTTCCTGAGTCATACCAGCCTTTCATATATTCTTTGACAGTCAAGTTTCTTTTCTTTTTTATTTTTGAGTTGGAGTCTCAATTCTGTCGCTCAGACTAGAGTACAGTGGCACACTCCCGGCCACGGCAGCCTTGCCCTACTGGGCTCCGGCGATCCTTCCGCCTCAGCCTTCCAAGTAGCTGGAACTACAGGCACACGCTACCATGCCCGGCTAATTTTTTATTTATTGTAGAGATGACATCTCACCAAGTTGTCTGGGCGGGTCTTGAACCTGTGAGCTCAGGCAATCCACTCACCTCAGCCTCCCAAAGTGCTGGGATTACAGACTGAGCCATCGAGCTCGACCAACAGTCAAGTTTCTAAGTACGCAGAGATGAAGTGACAGCAGTTCTGGAAGGATCCACAATAAACTGAGAGGCCAGGGGACTGAGTCTGAGCCAGGAGGGAACTTTTTATATAGTTGTTTGAATTTCCTGCCATATGAATTATGTTTTGTTTTTTTCCTTTTTTTGTGTGTTATGTTTTCTTTTTTCTTTTTTTTTTTTTTTTGAGTTGGAGTCTCACTCTGTCGCCCAGACTGGAGTGCAGTAGCTGCTCCCGGCCACCGCAGCCTCAAACTGCTGGGCTCCGGCGAACCTTCCGCCTCAGCCTTC